ATAGCAGGTCATATGAGATTTAATTAAATAAACGAGTTGCCGTGACCGGATTTTCCCCTTCGAAGTGCGCCTTTCAGCAATTTACTTGAATTTAGCCTAGCTACCAAGTTTCGGTCACGTAGATCAAACGTTGGAGCTTTCGTTAATTGATTTCAGTATTTATGAGAGTTCTGATAAACCTCGTACCACTCCAAACTCTTGTGGTAAGAGAAGGTGTTTGGGTTAGCCCGTACCAACTTTTGGTAATGGTGTTGCATTGGTTACCAAGAAGAATCCCAAGACACTTTTGAACTAGGTAATGGTATTCGTCGTCATACTGTATTGTCAACAACGATAATACCTCGAATAATACCTACTATTACCTAATATGATTATATTATTACATAACAAGTGCAAAGCAGATTGCACAGACCCATGGTACCTTAATTTAACGAATATACATCAAAATAATCTAAAAATATACCTTTGTTATGTTATGCATGGGCGACTTAGGAATTGGCGTCAAGTATAGTAACATGTAATTGTGTTTTTCGGGGCCAAAAGTATGTCTAGTAATTTCAGTAGTGGATTCTTGAGAATCATTCATACAAAACCAAGCTACAAACTAAAGCTGTAGAAAAACTGTCCATTCTGTTCGTCTCTTCACGATTTGTGACCATGACGGTGTTCTTCGCTCTTACGTCGACAGTACTTGTTTTTCCAATTCTCACAAGAATACAAGTTTACAGGGATCGTCCTGAAATGGGACAATGTGCTGTGGAATCAAGAACAAGTGACATGGTCGAATACTTGAAACTTTACGTTGTTTTGTTTTTGGTGTTTTACAAAGGGATCACCTGCCGCACATCCACTCCAGGACCAACTTAAGCCTCTTAAGATATGGGGACACGTACATTTCATATTTCTTCTTTTGCCAATTTTTGTTTCTGTTTTGCTAGTCTGCGCGCTATTTTTGGGCAAATTTGTGTAGGAAAAATGCTTTTGAATGTGTTTATGTAAATTGATCGACCAGATCAGTAAAAAATAAGCATGAGCTTTTTAGAGTTACATGGCGATATCTCGAAAATAGTTGTATATATTTTTATGAAATTTTGGTGACTTAACGACATGGGGGGACAAATTTTAACATATGTTCTAATTTTTTTCTTTGTTCAATTTTTAGGGGTGGGGAAAGCATTTAAACAATAAAAAACTCGGGCAAGGTGTCTGAAAATATGAAAGTTGTGCCTCTACTTCCGCTTATTGTTCTTTTTTTAGCATTAGACCATGTCTATTTGCCACAGAACTATTATTGGATAGTATGAATTGGTGTTAACAATTAGCTCTTGATTTACTCTATGATCATTGAATAAATATTTATTATTCAATGCTATGATATAGTAGAGATGTGGAATCTTCATTCAACTTGCAATTTAAGATTATGTGGTTTACATCTCCGGCGATACTTTCATTCATTCATTATCACAAGTACAAAGGGGGGAGTCAATTACACCAATCCTAGCTGGAAAATGGGCATGATTGAGTTTTAACTTAGGTATATAGGGTAAAAGGTAAAGTGTTACAAGGCGATATCTCAAAAATGGTTTTATATTTTTATGAAATTTTGGCCAGAATTTTGGTGACATATTAAGGATATAAGGCGAAAATTTTTCTCAATGGAACCAGCCTGTAGACTCACAATGACTGCATTAAATGAAGTTATTGTGTAGATCCAGTGTATTGTAGAGTGGACCATTCAACTTATAAAGGTTTATGCGTTTATAAACACTTCGCTCATTCGTTGGGAGTCTAGAAGGTGGTTCCAACGGCGCACATGATTACCAGATTTATACTATGCGATCAAAAATGAGATGCTGTCAAGTCACCTTTGGAATTTTTGTTTACATGAGAAATCGTACTTAACTTGAACTTACAAAGGCCACTTGACAGCAACTCATTTTTGATTGCCAGTTCTATCTTCATTCATATAGCCCAGCGATATTGAGATGACCAATAAACTTGGTGGGAAGTTACAATACGAAAGTATTCCTTTTTTAGATGATACGATCTATAGTACGTAATAGCGTGAACCGATGGGCAGATGTACGGAAAACAGTCAGTCGTCCCAATAAATTATATGCTGAACATACATACAACCCGTGTAGGGACGGGAAAAAATATCCCTATTCCCTACCACAGAGGGCACTGTGTGTCGTAAAAGGCGACTAAACAACGGCCACAACTATCAGTGATTCAAAGATGGAATGGTTTGGGAAGTTGGTAAGTGGAAGGCGAACGATTTTCTGTTAGCGTTACCGACTGTTATTTTCCCTTTTCTACAGCTATTTTATAGGATTTTGAGAAGTACCTACTTACTTGCTATCGGGGACTGTGTTTGGCGTGAAAAGTAAACCTCCAGCAAATTTTCTTGGGGTTCTTGCGTTTGGGAATGCAATACCGGGATTGCGGGATCCCGAAATACCGGGATCGGGATCCCGCGGCATTTTTGCGAGATTAATCCCGCACATAAATGGAGCGGGATCCCGCGGGATTTGCGGGACTGAGGGGACGACTCTGTTTACCAATTTCGAAAGAAAATTCAAAGGGCTGTAACTTTTGAACTAGTAGCCCAATCTAGGAACTGTTTGAAATTATGGATTCTACAGGCCACATTCTATAAGAAAAATTTTTTTCCGGGTCGATCTGAGACAATTTTTTTGAGGGCCTCAAAAAAAGGCAGTGTACAACCTTCCTTTTTTACCAAAAATCGACTGCACCAAAATTTCTCGGAAAAACACTTTTTCTTATTAATTTTGGTGCGTAGAATCCAAAACAATTCGTACTTTTTCGATCACACCTCTCAATCAAAGGTTATAGACTAGAAACCAATTTCGGAAGAAAATTCAAAGGGCTGTAACTTTTGAACTAGTAGCCCAATCTTGAAACTGTTTGAAATTATGGATTCTACAGGCCACATTCTAAAGGAAAATTTTTTCCGGGTCGATCTGAGACCATTTTTTTTTAGGGCCTCAAAGGTTATAACCTTCCTTTTTTACCAAAAATCGACTGCACCAAAATTTCTCGGGAAAACACTTTTTCTTATTAATTTTGGTGCGTAGAATCCAAAACAATTCTTACGTTTTCGATCAGACTTCTCAATCAAAAGTTATAGACTAGAAACCAATTTCGAAAGAAAATTCAAAGGGCTGTAACTTTTGAACTAGTAGCCCAATCTAGGAACTGTTTGAAATTATGGATTCTACAGGCCACATTCTATAAGAAAATTTTTTTTCCGGGTCGATCTGAGACAATTTTTTTTTCGGGGCTCAAAAAAAGGCAGTGTATAAACCTTCCTTTTTTACCAAAAATCGACTACACCAAAATTTCTCGGGAAAACACTTTTTCTTATTAATTTTGGTGCGTAGAATCCAAAACAATTCGTACTTTGTCGATCAGACTTCTCAATCAAAAGTTATAGACTAGAAACTAGGGAATGCAATACCGGGATTGCGGGATCCCGAAATACCGGGATCCCGCAGCATTTTTGCGAGATTAATCCCGCACATAAATGGAGCGGGATCCCGCGGGATTTGCGGAACTGAGGAATTTGTCGACCAAGGGGACGACTCTGTTTACTTTGTTAATGAAACTGATAACGGCGAATTATTTTTTAAATAATTGTTAAACTTTTTTCGTTAAAAATGTACTATGATTTTTGATGCACTTTAGAAGACTTTTTGTACTTTACAGGTAAGATTTTTTTGAGTTCTAAGTTAGGCCGAAGGTACTTTTTTGTTCAATATTGTGATAATTAGCGATTTATTTTAATACAGAAGTTAACCGCACAGAATTGCTTATTTGCCAATTTATTTAAAGTTTTGCGAGATCCCGCGGAATTAACATCTAATAATCCCGCAAATACCGGGATTGAGATTTTGCTGCGGGATTGCATTCCCTAGTGAATACTACTTGTGAGTATTCTGTTCTCTTGAAAGTTCGACAGTAAAAGAAAAGTTGGTTTTACAGACGGATCTTCTTTCTACAGGAAACCTAAGCAAAACCAGTTGCCAAATTCTTGATAGAATAGCTTCCTAGCTTACATCCTTTATGCCAAAAGTCTTATTAATTTTTTGTATGTGCCTTTTATCACTACTTAGACACTAAATTGTTCAAATTCTCAAAGGAAAATTTTTGTTGACCTTTTACAGAATTCAATGTTATTTGGATGTTATACTATCTTAAACGATTATTAATTCTGGGCAATTTTTTATTGGTAGGTACATAATTGAGAATTGCTTTGTTTTGGATTCCTTCTATTGTTTTGTGCAGCCCAAAGCATTTTCCCTCTGCGATCTTGACACACTTTCCGTCAAGCATGCGAAAATTGTTTAACGATTTTTTAACAAGTGCTAAAAGCTCCAAATCGCGAAATTCGCGTCGCTTTTATATCCTTTGCGTGTGCTGTTTTTTTAAGACGTTCTGCAATTGCTTCCGTTAGAACAGTAACTGTCTCGACAACGGCAATGCGGTCTTTCGAATACCCTAATAAATATGTTAGGTTGCTTTTTGAAAAAAAAAAGTTCAATGCCGTTGCGGCGCTATCTCTAATATTGTGTCAATGTGTAACGTTCATTAGGTATTTTTAGACTTACCTAACTATTCAATGAGATACAGTTTTGCCTCAATTTTGAATTGTATACCTACTTCATCTTACGGGTAATTAGCCCAGTTCACCTTTTTATTCAGTCTAAATTTTTTTAGTTACCTCAAGAGACAAAAAAGATTGTCATCAGCAGGATTTTCCCAGCATTTCAGTTGCGGTGTCATATTTATTGTAAGAGTGACAACTACAATTCGTAGCTATACAGAGCAGCTAAGTTAATACATTGTAAAAGGTAAAGAAAACATAAGTAAGAAGGATTATGTACTTCTATGTTCTATCTGACTGTTTTAAGGGCCAATAAAACTACTAAGATACGTATAGTTAATTTAGATGAAAGGGATTACGTTAGTAGAGTACATAGATATGCTGATACCATGCTCGTTACTACTATAGGTATATTCAAAATGAGTTCGAGGAATGTCAATTAAAATAAACCAGTGTTCACAGGCAGACAGACAGATCGGTTTGCATTCGGGACAAATCTCACATAGATACAGACACCACGCAACGGTAGCTGTAAATTTGCATTTAAATTTTTTCGAAATTTCGTTGTGTTACAAGTTAGAAACATTTGAGATTCTAAGACCCAGTAGTACAATGTTAGTTTAAACTTCAGTTTATAGTTATAGTTAAGTTGTGGGTTAACAAATTTGATTGGCTAATATTTCACAAGTTGACCGTTATGGAAATGAAGCTCATTTTGGTTGCCTTGTTTAATTTCAATGAAGCTTTCGGAAACCTTTGGTATGCCTGGCTTTTATACCATATTTCGTCTTCTTAATTAGTGTTATTTGATTATAATTGCACAATTGTAAAAAAAGCTAATTTAGCTGAATTTCAATAGGAAATCACAGCTTTTTCTTTTGGTCTTTCGTGAATATAGCGATTCCTATTGGCACAATGAAAAACATGGTGGATTTAAATTACTAGACGTTATTAACACCAAATAGTAGGGATTAGTCTGCGAGAAAAAATTAATAATTAATAAATTGCGAAGTTCGCAAGAACATTTTTTTCGGATAAAATTGGTTTCCGGCGATGTTTTCTTGCGCCGAGATGGCGACGCCGAAAAGTACAATTTCCTCGCGGGTACAAATTAGTCGTAAATTCAAAAGATTGTTATATTGGGATCCTAAATTTTTTACATTTTATAATGGAAAAAAAACCCAAAATTCCTCACTGGAATATAACCAAGAACTAAATAGTTGATAAATTAATATGTTTATAAGTTCCTTTTGAACACAAAGTAATTTAAAATTCAAAACGCCAGTTTAGAGGTCTTTTCTTAACATTTCAGATGATGCTGACGAATGCGTGGAGCAGGTTAAACAAAAAATTAACTTTTTTAAATTTTATATTTGATCTCAATAAAAATACCGTAACGTAAATTTAATTACGTGACTTATTTATTTACAATGAACTAACAATAAATTTAAATCAGTCTTCAAAAGGATTGATTTCTAACAGAGAGGGAGGAATATTCTAGAATATTCGCAAAAAAACAAGTCCATATTTCGCGGTTAAGTTTTTTAGTTTTTCTTTACATGATTCTAGTGGTCGGTCGTGCATAATAGCATTAATGATTAATTTTTTTGTAATTAGTAATTGCCATTGAAATTGTACACCAGTGAATGGCCCCCTACGAGAGACTGGATTGTACTTGTGCATTGTAAAAAGTAAAATTGACTTTGTATCGGTAACTTGCTTTCAAATGAGTATTTGTTAACATCTAAGTATTTTGCTCAATGAAAAACGTGAATTGGAAAGCATTATGAGGGGATAATGGAATCATCAATAGATCTTCACATCGACGTCGAATGTAGAAGACAAATTATTGTCATCGGCGATTCACAGAATTCCAAAATGAATTCTATAAACAATAACAGAGTTGGGGGACCAAGTTTATTTGTATAAAATGAACAAAATGGGATTCAGCGAGGTCGCTATTGTTTTTCAGCTACGTTAGACTATGGAGCCAAAAAATTTTTATAAAAATGATGGATGCATGAAGATATTGTGGGTCGTTCGCTATTCGGTTGTATCGGATTTTTGCGTTACAAAGTTGATAACAAACTCACATGGAAAAATCATTGCTACACAGTATGTTGCTTTTCAGGATACGTGCATCTTTGCAGATTTAACCATAAACTGTAATTTTCTTTGTCCATCTTAGCAGTATTAGATGCGAATGGAGTTATTTACTGACATTTTTCCCAGAAGCGATGACAATAACATTGTGCAACCGCACAGTCACAATGAAAAAGATCTAACAAAGTCATCAGACCCAAGAAGAAACTTCATGCTGCGTCACACCTACAATTAAGCCGTAATCGTAAATGAACTTAGTAACAGCTTTACAATCAAATTTGACCTACAAAAAATTGCTTCCAATGACCTCACTATTTTGGAATTTATTGATAAAATTCGTAGACGTTTTTCTCATCTCGTAGACGCCTAACACTTTTTGGTGATAATTAAATGGGTATGTGTGTTGAAGCTACCGTCATCCCATATTACAAAAATTAGCGGAAAAAACGATAGTATTACGTGATAAGGAGATCGTGAGAACTTTTCTGAAATAATAGACGACACGTGTGTAATTGCAAACTTCAAAATCTTCGCGGAAACTCGTACATTTCCCGCACGTCATCTTGTAGTTGCAGAAGAAGGGTAAAAAACCCATCGGGCAAAAGTGTCCTTCGCCATAGCAGGTGTACGTAAACGCATCTTTGCGGCAGCATTCGTTCCGTATTTGTTCACCTGATTAAACGTCGTCGCAGGTATAATGTTATTCAATTACAAATTAAGGTGGGAGATTTCAATAGTAGTGAAAGCCTAGAACTTCTTATCATTACACCTTCGGCTCATGGTCACTTCACCGCATTCAGTTTAGTAGTGTGCAAGTTTCGTGAATGAGTGAAATGGAGAAGTACTTCTTCAACAAAATCGACAACATCCATCCCTTCGAGGAGAAGAATTTTTCGGTGTTACTTTCGACGGAAGTTGATAAAGTGATTGCTGCACAAACCGATCCAGATTACGAACAATTTTTGGCGGACGTTTGGGTTGGAATTATCCTTACGTTGATCGTCCTCAGCTGCGTTTGCTGCATGTGCTCCTGCCTGCTGTACCACAAATTCCAGCAGTGGAAAAGGCACAGTAAGTATCGAATATCTAATTACCAACTTTCTAAAATATGCTTACCGCGTGTTAATTACACCAGATGATTGAGTCTTCAAAAACCATGAGGTCTAAAACTGTCAATGAACTGTCAGTCAACCGGCACATCCTTTTCGTGCAATTTCCGTTAGGTACTTTAGTAATTACCCACGTGAATCATCCGCATTTCCAAAAACCAAGAGATTGTGGCCCAAGATATTTTTGCGGTGACACACCTCTTGGTAATTCTTTAGACACTCGATATAAATAGTCAGTTTCTTCGTAATTAATCTGCATAAATAATTCATAAACATCAGAATGTGCGTATCATTTTTATTCTCTAGTGCATTTATCGCCTAAATACACAAACTTTGTCATCGCGTGACCCCCTATCTTGTGTTAAGTACTTATCGTCAAAATTGGTTTAGTAAAACTCATTTTTGCAGTTTCCCGCGTGACCTGCAGCGATCTTTGGGACGCATTTTCAACGTATCAAACTGTAAACAGTTTTCGCAAACAAATTGTGACGATAGACAACCTTGAATAAACATGGTTTTTTACCTTAATTATTGTACCTATTAAAACGTTGTGATTATAAAGAGGTGTGGAAGTGTTGGTCTGCCACCACATTTGTATCTGTTCTACCACTTTCTTCTTCGTCTGGTGGACATTTTCAAACTGAACTCTAAAAATCTTTGGCTTAATCAATTTTTAATTATTCACTACACAGCCCAGTTAGTTTTTTGTCCAGATCAGTGCTGTATTTACCTCTCTGAAGATTTCCTACCAGTAATTGTTTGAGAAAAGGCTAGAGACGTGACATATTATTCCTCCTTCGCTACGAAAAACTTTAAAACAATACGATAATACTGGCATGCTGATAGATTTATCAATCGGACGTGCATGGATAGTAAAAGCGTTATCTTCAAACCTCTCGATTATTATAATCCCATTTCTTGAACACGTCGATATCGTCAAGAGTTGACAACAGATATTTTATCCAACTACAAAGATTGTGAGGAAAATGGTGAAAAGATCTACTTTTATTTATTTAAAGCAAATGATCCTATTCATCCTTGCTTTGGAGACAGTGTGATACTTGGCTCATATGATTCTGGTAGCAAAATGACAATGATCAAATGATTCAAGTTAGGTATTTAAACATTTAAAGATTTTTCGTTGAGAGCATTCATTTTGCCTATGTAAGTACCCTCCTCCGACAATCTGTTCTTGAGATATAAGGAATTATATCCGATCACGATCATTAATTTCTTTCGTTGAGACCTTTCATTAGAGTACCATGAAGGATAAAACCAGTTCCAGCAACCCTCTTTTGATATGGGGTCAGAAAGAAGGGCGGGAGTTGGTAGAAAACAGTTCCTTTAATCTTCCCTCCCCTCCTCGGCCATCCACTAATCTCGAAAAGGAGTCGCACGTTTCACTTTCTAAAACAGCATCTCAGGAAAAAGCTCATGGGGGGACTCCCTCAGATAGCGGAATTTGATGGCCGTCTGGCACACCTTCACGGTATAGGCTACCTATTGCAACAAATTCCAGGACCCTACGATCTAAAAATAGGTTAACACGGACAGACGGACAGTCGGGCGGACAAAACGGAAATAATAGCACAAAATCTATTGTACCTTTTTTGCTAATTGTCTCATTATGGTGTCTAGTCTTGCACCAAGGCAGGAATGCGCGACTTATTAAAATAGTTATAACAAACAACCAATCTTTTCCACTCCTTGTGCCCTTTTTGTATTTATGAATCCTATATGCTTGCTGCATAGAGAAACCCAAATTCTTGATCCAAACTCCAATTTGTCTGAGGAAAGGATTAAATGCTATCACAGTGCTGGCACCTTTTTAGAAAGGCGCTTTTTTTAAATCGTTTCATCTGCACATTTTGACTTTTACACGTGAAATTTCTCGTTTATTATTATTACAAGTAAAAAAGTTCGAAATTTTGGGAAAAGTACTTGGTGGCCCCAAGAGGGACAACAATTTTAACAAGAGAATGATGGTCCAAAAAGTAACTGATGGCGTTTGGGGGATGGTAGTGCTCGAAAGATTTTCATGGCGTTAAATGGGGTTACGTAGTGCCAAACAGAGTGCAAAGATTTCACACATTACATTTTCCTGACATAGAATTTAAAAAAAAAATCATCTTTGAAGGGCAGGGCAGTTCCGAAGAATCTCTCATAGCTAAGGAAAGGTTCCACCTTGCTCTAGTTGGGGACTTTTAAGCGCAAACTTGTTCCTCTTGGTGCCATCAGCCTACAGTTGAGGCCACCATTGTTTTATATTAAGTAATAGGTACTTATTCTATGATGTGACCCATCACATAAATGTCCAAATATCGAAGTACCGGTACCGACACGTAAGAAGGCGAAAGATGGCGCATTCCCACTACTCATATTCTATTAATTGCACCTACTAGCGCGCCACGGAGTTTCTCCTTCAGAGTCTAAATTGGTCATCTGCGCATAGCTCGCTCTCGCCTTCCTACGTGCCGGTACCAGTACGTAATGTCAAAATATCGTGTTTGAGATCGAAATTTCGTATTCAAAGTTGGAAAAAGGTTTGGTAGTCACAAATAAATCAGGATTGTGTGGAGCCCGAAAGAGTGGTTGTTACCTAGAGGACTTGAATGGATCTAGCAGTTCCTAAAAGGTTCTGATGATAGCAAGAAAAGCACGGTATGATGGTGTCAAGCAGAGCAGAGCGACCAAGAAGGATTTTTATGTAGAACAACCGATTTCTTCCATTTAAGATCTGAAGTTCTTTAAATCTTCTTTGAACAAGCATTTTTCCCCAGATTCTACCAGTCTTGAAATGAACTTGTCGAACACCTCCTCTGACATTAAAGAGGAAGGTTCGCGATTTTTTGGCTTATGGCACCTTTCAGCTTGTCCAGTGTGCGGCGTTTGTTCGTGTGAACTCCCACAAGAGAAATTACAAACGCTATGGTCTGGGGAGCGAGCTGTTCATGCCATGTCCCCAAACCGCGAGACGACTCGGTCACGAAAGTTGCTTCTCAAAAAATTCATCACCTCAATACGCCAATAAGCTGTATGAGCAGTTGCCCCATCTTGCTGGAGCCATAACCTCCTGCGCACTAAACGGTTTCTCTAAATTTCTTCAATAACAACAGATAACGTTGGGAAACCGTAACGATTTGACCCCCTTCTTTTGTTACTTCTTCTTGGATCCACATTAAAAGGTCTACAGAACTGCTGCCGAGTAGCAACGCACGGATCGGCACTTTTAAAAACGCCTCGACAACAAACGGGCGATGCTCAATTGCTCACCCGACCACTTCTCCATGGCGACTAACAATTAATTCGTGTGGACTGTCAGATCTTTTTGCAACGCGGTGCCAATAAGGATCTGATGACCCCCAGTGGAGTATCGATTTTCAAATACTGTTGGCACCTAGGCAAGGGAGTATGGTACAACCAGCTAAACCTGGCGAAACCAGAGCTTTTTAGGTGTCAACATCTGTTTCTTGATGTTCACCCGTTTTAAGTGTAAGATTTTTTGAAAGACTCGCGAGAAACGATGCACGGAAAAAACATGAGTCTTCATTGCAACTTAACTTGGGTTCCGCTTGGAACTTTTTTACCAAGTGCCTTAAAAAACTTTCCATGCTACCCCCTCCCTGTTCTCATTGGCCCTACGATTCAATTAAAAGTTGTGGTGATAAATCACTCCCGTATCTTTTCATATATGCCGAATAACAAAATATGATACCGATTGTAGACGTTTGCAGAGCTGGGCAGTATTCGATTTTGTAAATACTTTTTACTATTGAAATCCTTTAAAGTATTCAAATACTTTGTAATTAAATACTTTTAGGGAAGCAGTATTTGTATTTGTAACTCAAATACTTTCACAAGTATTTAGTATTCGAATAGTATTTGAATACGTAACCTTCCTTTTTTACCAAAAATCGAATATTCCAAAATTTTCCGGGAAAACACTTTTTCTTATTAATTTTGGTGCGTAGAATCCAAAACGATTTTTCGATTAGACTTCTCAATCAAAAGTTATAGACTAGAAACCAATTTCGAAAGAAAATTCAAAGGGCTGTAACTTTTTAACTAGTAGCCCAATCTTGGAACTATTTGAAATTATGGACAGGCCACATTCTATAAGAAAATTTTTTTCCAGGTCAATCTGAGACAATTTTTTTTTCGGGGCTCAAAAAAAGACAGTTCCTTTTTTTACCAAAAATCGACTATAACAAAATTTCTCGGGAAAACACTTTTTCTTATTAATTTGGGTGCGTACAATCCAAATCAATCCGTACTTTTTCGATCAGATTTCTCAATCAAAAGTTATAGACTAGAAACCAATTTCGAAAAAAATTCAAAGGGCTGTAACTTTTGAACTAATAGCCCAATCTTGGAACTGTGTGAAATTATGGATTCTACAGGCCACATTCTATAAGAAAATTTTTTTTCCGGGTCGATCTGAGACAATTTTTTTTCGGGCCTCAAAAAAAGGCGCACACTGCCTTTTTTTGAGCCGCGTAGAATCCAAATCTATACATACTTTTTCGATCAGACTTCTCAATCAAAAGTTATAGACTACAAACCAATTTCGAAAAAAAATTCAAAGGGCTGTAACTTTTGAATTAGTAGCTCAATCTTGGAACTGTTTGAAATTATGGATTCTACAGGTCACATTCTATAAGAAAATTTTTTTTCCGGGTCGATCTGAGACAATTTTTTTTCGGGCCTCAAAAAACCAAAAATCGACTGCACCAAAATTTCTTGGGAAAACACTTTTTCTTATTAATTTTGGTGCGTAGAATCCAAAACAATTCGTACTTTTTCGATCGGACTTCTCAATCAAAGGTTATAGACTAGAAACCAATTTCGAAAAAAAATTCAAAGGGCTGTAACTTTTGAACTAGTAGCCCAATCTTGGAGCTGTTTGAAATTATGGATTCTACAGGCCACATTCTATAAGAAAATTTTTTTTCCGGGTCGATCTGAGACAATTTTTTTTTCGGGGCTCAAAAAAAGACAGTGTATAACCTTCCTTTTTTACCAAAAATCGACTGCACCAAAATTTCTCGGGAAAACACTTTTTCTTATTAATTTTGGTGCGTAGAATCCAAAACAATTCGTACTTTTT